TTCTTTTAATTTCTCCTGAAAGTAGATTGTTCATTTTGTTTTGTTCTGTTTTACTGTAGGACTAGCAATTATTGTGATAGATTGAATCAATCAAATCAGGTGTTAAACTTGTTTTAGATTTTGTGGTTGCTATGGTTATCTTCATGGCACCACAAGATCCAAGCTTGTCTGGTATCAACTTTGCCAGAGGGTTTTTCTCCAGAGTTCTAGTCGACTTTCAGCAGTAGGCCTTCCCTGTGTGTCTGCTGCAGAGAAGGTCTCCTCGTTCTTACCCCTTCCCAGCTATTTTTTCTATCTTCCTAGGGCTTAGGGATGAACATTCTCCTGGATCTTGCCATGCCCCAGTGATAGCCAATATCTAATGGTACCGATCCTTGATAGTCTCTTATCCTCCCAAAGTTAGAATGTTTTCTTCTGTAACCGTGGATCTTTACTCATGCCGTGGAGGATAACAGTGTTCGAAGCCCTTCTAGTAGTCTAAGCTCTTTGTTTCTGAGGGTATAAGCAACTGGGGGAGTTTTAGTCTTTGCCCCCAGTGGCAGCTGCTCCCCTCCTCCACACCTGTACCATCAAGGATGGCTTTATTCTATCACCCTACTGCCTGCAGTCTTTGTCATCAGCATCTAGTGAAGTCCATGGAGAAAAGCCTAAAAGAGAGTGTGTACTTCTCGTGCCTGTGGATCCCAGGGCTTCTATGCTCTCTCATTGGTGCACCCTAGTTCTTTCTCAATGTCTTTTTCAAATTACTTGAATTGCTTGTACTTGCTTGTATGGAATCTGGTATAACTTTTTTCAACACTCTACCAAAAGTACACAGTTCTTGCACTCCACATCTTCTTGAAGATGCCTGTTTTTCCCTAGTTTTCATGCTAGTTGGTTACCCTAAAATCTCAGCTCTTTGATGGGCTCAAGAAAAGTTATTTTTTAGATTGGAGTTTTCTCGTTATCAGAGTTGGAGTAACAGTCTTTCCCTAGTATTTGCTTTTTCTAAGTTTCCCTAGTAATTTTATATTTTTATTGATAAATTATATGCTGTACTACTGTGCAAATATATAAATTACAAAACATACCCCAAAATAGAAGTAAAAGAGAATGAGATGGATACTTGATTTGAATATGGTGATATAAACTCAGCATTCTCTGTTTCTTCCATTTGGAAATCATCCAAAAACAGCAAGGGAAACTGTGCCCCTCTGTGTTTTAAAGACTAACTGCAATGATGGTGGCTCCTGCCAAGAGTCACTATGAGTTTGCTGCTCTTGTCAAAAAAACAGTCCCAGTTTTTTCACCTATATGTTTGGCCTCTTACCATGAGAAAGTATATTTACTTGTTTTTTCCTAAGATATACAGCCTTAAAGAAAATTTAAGTAAATGGTTACACAATAAGTCGTGTTTACAGAAAACAGTTTGTTTCCATGACAGCAAAGAAGGGAGCCTCTGAATCATGAAAACAAGTCAGTCTCCAAATATTCCCATTGACCTTCCCCTAGAAACCCACCAATTGTCCCAAGAAAAACCAGTCTACCTCAGTACAAGTAATAATAAAAAGAGAACTGACATTGAATATATTCAAAGATACTATGAGAAAAAGGCAGATTAAAAAAGAACAAAATCTAATAACAGATGAAGAGCTCTTACAAGAAAAAGTTGACATAATACAGATAATTATGACTGAACATTTGCCATGACTTTTAAAGACTTAAAGCAAGATCATAAAGTAAAAATGCAATAATCAAGGAAGAGATGATAAAATGTGAAAGTTATAGAATGCTGTAAATCTTTCCTCCCTTCTAATAGAGATATTACCCATCTGGTACAGATTAAAAATACAATTACATATAGAAAAATGACAGAAATAGATAACAGGTAAAGAAGACCCAGCATATGCCTAAGTAGTATCCCTGAAGAAGAACTTTAAAATCATGTTGGGAGGGGAATTGATGTTAAATATAAAGATGCAAATTAACGTAAAAATATAAATTAAAAACTGATAAATTATCAAAAGATATTTATATATTAAATGATTAAAATATTAAATATTAAAAGCCCATATTGTATGATAGAGGTATAGAATCAAAATGACCATCACTGAGAGGCCTAGTGAAATTATTGGGCTTCAAAATGAAGAAATAATTATTTGGGCTACCTACTCATATAAGTGGTGGAAGAGGTGGGATGGGAAACAAGAGGCCCTCAAACTTCTCAAGAGCAGCATTCAAAAGCAAAAGACAGTGGAGCACTACTTATAAGATCTTGTGGAGAATCTTATATATAAATCATGTATTCTATATCCAGCCAAAAGTTTATTCAAGGACAGAGGAAACAGATATACAGTTGAGAATATACCATATTCTCAGGGATTATTACCATAAGATGTTTTTGAGAAAATTAGTACTACAGGACAAATTTTGGCCAACACGTGGAGGACTAGAAGCACAAAGGCACAAACATTCATATAATATAGTTAACCATAGAATTCGAACTAAAACAACTGTACAAAAGAACAAATTTGTATGATGTACAAATTACATAACTAACAAAAAATGGAAAAATATGGGGAAAGAAGGTCTACAGAAGAAGTATGCTGGAATTTTCAGTTACAATAGCCAATCAAAGGATGAAATGTAAACTTGATAAATAGAAATAAAACAAAATGTAATAATGCAAAAGTAAATAAACACCAAGGAAAAGTAAATAAATGACTAAAATTAGATGGTGGAGAAGAAATAGAGGACTACAGACACATTGAAGAAACACCCTGCTTTCATTATTTCTCATTATGAAGAATAATAGATCTGGGATTCTTGTTAAAAATGAGGACTGAGGGTACTATAAAAGGTTATAGTTGTAAAGGTAATTTATAGAAGGAAATAATGTAAACCTTCTTAAATGTCAGAAGAACCACCCATATACAACTACAAAGAAGAAAGACATAGATTATTGAACAATCCTTTAAAATCTTTAAAACATGAAAAATGCAATAAAACCACAAGACAGAAACAATCTCAAGTATATTTGTAATATAAATAAATGTAAATGAACAAAAACAACTATTGTTTTAAAAAATAAGATTTTCAGGTTGTATCACGTAGCAAAATCCAATTCTAGGCTCTACGCAAGAGATACTAAAACTAAGTGTTTGGAAAGGTTAAAAACGAAAGACACAGTTAGATTCAAGTCAAATAGCATTAAGCTAGACAAAAGCATATACTTTATAAAGTTAAAATGCACATTCACAAAAAGCAAATTAAAAGAGTAGTGCTTTGGTAACTAATTAGAGTTTATTTAGAGTGACCCGCTATTCCAGCTTACCATGGATAGTTTATGTCTGTTGTCCTGGCTTAATTATTTATTGAACATTCTTTCATATTTAAAGTATATAGGTTTACATGTTAAATCATATGGTCATTTTAGGCACATTCCAGGAATGCAAGGATGGTTCCATATCAGACAACATATTCACATAAATTCCTATCGAATTTTAGCCTTTTGCCATCAGCTTCATAACACTGCATGTCATGCTGTATTATATCCTTTGTATTGTATCTTATGGGTCTCTGCTTTTTAGCATTCACTTTCTTTGGCTCACTGTATCACAGCTGTGATATATGTTCCTTTTACAGGGTCCCCTGAAAGGCTTTCTGGAAGATTTAGGCAGACTGCAAAAGAAGTTCTATGCCAAAAATGAACGGTTACTTTGTCCTATCAGGACCTACCTGGTTACAGCTAGGAGTGCAGCCAGTTCAGGCGCCCGTGTGCTGAAGACCCTTCGACGCTGGGGTCTAGAGATAGACGAAGCTCTTTTCCTTGCTGGAGCCCCCAAAAGTCCCATCTTGGTGAAGATCCGGCCCCATATCTTCTTTGATGACCACATGTTCCACATTGAAGGGGCACAGAAGTTAGGTTCCATGGCAGCTTATGGCTTTAATAAAAAATTCAGTAGTTAGGGGCAGGGAGGAGAAATAAAGTGGTAATAGTCTGGTATTACAGAAGCCACTTCTTTTGACTCTCTAGGATTATTAGATAGGTATTTCAGAAAATTGGACCTTAAAACTTAGCTTCTTTGGAAAGATTTCCTCTTGATTTTTTGGAAAACCTTTTGAACCCTCAAGTTACCATCAAACTACTTCTCTTTGAACTACCAATACTGTTGAATGTCATTGCACCTATCTCTGTGTAAGCCATAATGATGACTCTTTAAGATAAGTTTAGAACTTGAATATTTGCATGCTTAAGGGACTGTTTTAGAAGCTTACTTAGTTTCATGAAGCACTGCTCATTTTTGGATGTTTGTAGATAACAATGAATTGTTACCCATCAGCATTGTAGAATAGTGTCTTCAAAGGTAGAAGGAGTATGGTTAAGTACACTCTTGAAAACTGGACCTTTGTATTCTGTGACTGCTATGGCCAGCCCTTTAAACAAAGCAAAATGAGAATTTCACTCTACCTGCATAACAATTTTGATACTGCTCATTTAGAAATAAATCATCTGGTTGTTCTTCCAGGGTACTTTCTAAGATAAGCCTTAAACAGAAACTCTTAAGAAAGGTTCTCTGAAAATTACTTGGTGGGTTAAATGCCTCTGGTCCACAGAGTTTCATATTTGAAGTCTCTGGCTTTGGGCCTGGCAGGCTGGCACATCCATATTTGTATGAAAAAAAAAAAAAAAAAAAACCCTATGCTACCACTTCAAAATGTGACATGAAGTGTAGAATCCTGGTCCTTCATTGTCATTCTTATGTGATTTTTGTTTTGTTTTCAACAAAAATTGGTTGGTCATTAAATATATGTTAGGCACAGTGACCTGGTTATTTTCACATGTTACTTCATTTTCTTATCAAATTAAATGTTTGTTACATAGTATTATTATTACCTTCCTTTTTATCAATGAGGAGCCTAAGATTCAAAAAGGTTAATTAGATAGCTTGTTTAAGGATATGGAGCTAATGAGTGTTAAGACTAATTAGATTCAAATTCAAATCTTACTTCAAAAGTTATAATGAGTTCTCTTTCCTCCCTTCCAAATAGAGTTATTAATTTCATTGCCTTTGGACCCATCTGGTACAGATTAATCATTTCATTAAGTTCCATGCATAAACTACACAGCAGTTACACCGCAGGTCTAAGGATTCCTCCCTCCTCTTTTCCTCCTACCCTTTCCTGCTCTCTCTGCCTCCACCTTCATCTCTACTCCACCTGGACATATGTATTCTACCCCGACTCTAGATGAGAGAAGACCACAGCTGAAACACATCTTCTGATGCTCCCTAATTTTATGTAAACCAGTCCAAAATATATCAGTTGTGACACATGACACTTACTGAGTACCTACCATTTTGTAGGTGTCCTCCCATGCAAAGACCACAAGAGGTATGCAGGCAAAACCCTATCCTCTAGGAAACTGAAAACCTTAACTATCTGATCAAGGAAGTCAAATGTGCAAACTCAAACAGTCAACACTAGAAGGCTGTTTGTCTTCAGTGCCAGTGAGGGTCACACATGAAGGGAGCAGAGATCTTCATAGGCTGGAAGTGGTCATAATAGACTTGAGGTAGCCTGTAATTTTGATGGATGGGCAAGATGTGGATGGGAAGAAAGGACAATAAAGTGGAAACAGATATGCTGGGGGATCACTGAGTTTGAGTAGCAGCTTCAAATTGGGGCTAGGGTGGTGTAGGACCACCTCTCATGATTCCTGTTCCTGGTGCCTTGTGTAATCCCCAGTAAGAGTGCTCTTTCCCACCTCCGAGCTCCATTCTCATTAATCATAAGAAACCTTCTGGAATCCATCCCTTTTTCTTTGTCTTCTGACTATTGCATGTTACATCCTTCCCAAATGTAAGGGAGTGGAAGATGGATTATCACAATTATTGGGGAGTTTGTCTCAAACTATACAAGCTGTGGCTCTTTTTCCTTGTGTGAAGAACCTGCAATGGGTGGAGGGTGGGAAGTGGGAGATCACAGTTCCAGAAAGTAAGCACCCTGAGAGCAGAAATGGTGTCCCATTTCTCTGTGGCTCTAACAGGGAACAGGCCAGGCACATATTGGATGGAGAGGCAGATGAACGAATGAGTCTTTAAAAGTAGCTTCGTCTACAGCTATGAAATTTGTAGCTTGAAGATAGGTCCCTGTGACACTAACCCTGATATTAATGAGGCATTTTACAGTGAGCCAAGCACTTTGCCTTCCATCGTTGTGTGTAATAGTCCTATGGAGAGGGCAGGGAGGCATTTGTAAATGGC